AGTAAATGATTCGTGCGTACGCATGTAAAAATTACGCGACAGTGGAAATCAACCTTTCTTCTGATATGGAAGGTGTTTTCGGCCTTCAGTCCCAACATGACTTGAGAAAATGTACAGCTCGTTGTGAATATTTTCACCTTCACCATCACTAACTGTGCGTGGGTTGCATTCTTCGCCTCTGAGCCAATTAATGTCAACGCTGCCTTAGAGTCCAGGTATCCACAATATGTAGGAACTGACGAAAGGACGCTTTTATCATACTTACTGAGGACTGTACACAGTTCATGAAGTACTCGCGGACATATTTCACGGCTATTTCATATACAATCAGGAAAAGGACAATATTATGAAATTTTTAAGAGCGTTCTTTGAAACAGAAGAAAGTATAGACTCCAGGCGCCCTCACATTACCAATGGCTTTAATGGTCGCGGTACCGAATCAAATAAAACCGGAGAGTGAATTTCATGGGTACCCGAGAAGAGAACTACCGAAAGGTAATGCATCAAAATTCGTTTCAATGTGCATTAATTCATAAAATATCTTACGAAAGCAAAGGTAAATGACTGTTGCTGGATTGTTTTTTGGATTTTTGTAATAAAAAAATAGTCGTATGTACAAAGAATCAAAGGCGTTCATTTATAGTCAGATGTTTCTAAAAATCTGAAACATGCTACTAGAAGAGCTACCAACTCAAAAGAATCACCCAAATTGCTCGAAATCGGAACTTTTTCTTCCTTTTATGGCTAAAACGGGGGTCAGCCATGCTCGATTTACGCTTTCTACTTTAAAATTTCTATATGTTTTTAATTCTTAGTTCTATGTATGCTTTTAATTGTAAATTTGCTCTAAACTTCAAACAAATATAACCGGATGCTACATTTTCCTGCCAAGCGTACTATGTTTTATACAGACTGTGGCATTGAGATCACAAGTCAACCTAATGTAGTAGAAAAAGATATCATCCTTTGACACTCAAAATAATACCTAAGTTGTATTTCATAAACAGTTGTTATAAATTACCGTATTGCGGAACTGAATAAGTAAACCAATCACAGTACTGAATCTCATACTCCGTGGCTAGTTTACTCATCAAGCTCCGATTTCCCGGTGTTCATAAAATGCTACTTCTATTCGGTATAAGCGACGGAGTCACAGGACGTCATAACGGTTGCTTTTGTATAACTTCTACTTTGCTGCTAATCGTTACCAATTTAAACTTTAAATTGTTCAAATTAAGGGCCTGTTTACGTGGAGGTGAGAGACGCCAGGTAGTTGAGGTAACCCGCCTGTCCATATAATCTCTCATTTTAATTTGATCACGTTTACATGATAAGTGGGGTGACCATATGAGAGATGATATGGACAGGTGGGTTACCCCACCTAAGAGGGTTACCTCACTTTCCTAGGGTCCCCCATCTCTATGTAAACAGGGTCTAACTAACACTTAAAACTTTTGAATTTGAATTTAATTTAACTGACTAACTAACTGATATGCCACAGAATACACCCTGCTACAGTGAGCCTAGCCTCTGATAAAAAAGGGAGGGTTAAAAAAAAAAAAATGAAAAAAGCTGTTGTGCATAAGAGAATAGCGCGCCAGTTGACTACAAGTAGTCACAAATGGTCAACTGAGGCAACATTTCCTCTTTGTTTAGCTCAGTCGCTGATGGTGGGTTTGCATATACTGAGAGTAGTCTGGATTCAAATTTAACCAGATGACGGTTCAGAAGTTTACACAATTAAGCCAAAAGGTTCGCGGAAATACCAGCGCTGTTATTTAAAAGATCGAGAGACACTTTTCCACTAGTGTGATGTACCACAGTTTCGATTTATATTCGATTTACATGCTGGTGCAAACATGTGGACCCTTTGATTTTCCTTTGCACGATTGCACTCAATTCACGAAAAACAATGCGAAGGCTGGGCTCTGTATGGCCTAAGCACTCTAAGTGAATTTTTATCTATGCAGAATTTGCATATACATTCCAAACATTTGTTTCTGTTTTCAGTACACATGCTGACTTCAAACGCATACTAACATTTTCATTCAGGACCTGTTTACATGGAGGTGGGAAACCCCAGGTAGGTGAGGTGACCCGCTTAGGTGGGGTAACCCACCTGTCCATACAATCTCTCATTTTAATTTGATCACGTTTGCATGATAGGTGGGGTGACCCGCAAAGGCGGGTAGCCCCGTCTACCAAACCGGGTGACCCTCTTAGGCGGAGTCAAGTTTTGCCATGTAAACGTTTCAAGGTGGGGTAACCCGCCTGGCCGGGTCGGATTGGTGATACATCAAATTCTCGCAAAATTCACTTTGCCGGTGACTTTGCATCATCATTAAAGTTAACAATATAAAGCCATTGCACTGAAGGTTGCAGCAACAGCAACAAGTGAGTGTAGAAGTGCATTTATCGAAAAGTGCACCTCCGGATGGTGGGGTTGTAAGGAGGATTATTTTTTTACCCCACGTAAGCAGGTTACCTCACCTCCCTGGGGTCCCCCACCTCCATGTAAATAGGCCCTTAGGGAGCTTTAGATATGCGGGTTTGGACGCCGGCAATAAACAAATATGTTGGCAATCCAGTTTGTTACGGCAAAAGTCCGCTGTATAATAATGCCTTTCTGTTCTCCGGTACATTCTGTATAGTAACTCCTACTTTCGGATTTTCTGATCGTATATAATAATGACATTACATTCCATGTTTTACATACAAGTTGTCGCTAAACACCCGTGACTACAATTAATAACCACGGGTTTGCATCTATCTTGTATCAGTGATTATAACAAGTTATGCTGAATAGAGCTTTGGCAATAGATGGTCACGTAATCAACTTTCTGTATACACGAAAACAGTTTGCTTTTTGAAATTTTGTAAGCAGGAACTGCAAGAGCATATTACAATTAGGTAACCTATAAATTTGCAGCCGTATCTCTCAACCCCAGAGATTGCAACGGCCGCCGAAAGTTACAAGGATTTGTAAAGGAGGAGCCCATGACATATGCCCCGTGAGGAGACTAAACTCTTTCCACAAGGGAGTCACGGTTGAGTCAAGTCCTTGTAAATTTTGAAATACATAAACAAGTCCATTGTCTTAGGTAAATTTAAAACGCATCAACGGGAGCTTCGCTTGTAGCTCTGACTAAATCCGTATATTACTTTCTCAAACTCATTAATAATTCATTAAGAAAATACAAAGGAAATTAATGTTTAATGAGTGTTTGGAAATCGGATGAAACACTGCTTAGTATTTGCATCCTTAATTTCTCCTTCAAAAATGATTTTGTTTGAGAAGAAATATCAAACATTCGACACAGTGTTTCATCACCAGATGAAACACCTCGAAGTTCGTCAAAAATACTCCGCTGCGCGTCGTATTTTCAACTCTCTTCTCGGTGTTTCATCTGGTGATGAAACACTGCATCTCATGTTTGATATATTACTTACAACATACTGGCAAATGCTGTTCAAACACACTGCCCATTACCTCGATCATTTTTGCAGGCTTGCCTTATTCACTTCTCGCATTGCATTTAATCAATAAGATCTTCATCTTCCTGTATCAATTTCTTCGCTACTTGTAAACTTAGAAAATTTGATTGTCTTGTCAATAAATATTTAGTAATTTGTATGCTTTCGACAGCGTAAAATAATAATAAATAATCATAATAATGATGACAATAAATGATCATAATAATTCAACTTATATAATATGTTCATAATTTACAGATATATGTGAAGTACGAATTAAACACTATATAGCCTGCGAAAACATCCGTTTCTCCTGGCTCTTCGCCTCTGGGGACGTTAGTAAACCAGCTATCTAAAGTGAATTGTGATAGTAGTCTGTAGAATACGTAATGCATGCCGCAATCGCAAAGTCCCAGTCGATTTGATGTTTCATCTGTAAATGGTGCTCAGTAATGTGATTTCAAAAGCAGGTTGAGTTTGATCGTCCGGGTGAACGTAGTCCTGAATAAGACTGTTGTTGTTGATAGTGACTAACGTTCCGACAATCTGTGCGGTTTTCAGCTTCAGAGTCAAAGTGAGTTGTATCACGTCAGTTGATGGTATTATATACTCTGGTTATTGATCTGATTGGTTAATTACGTCGCGATGTTATTGGTCGTCTGTCAGTTAAGCCGTGATGTTATTGGCTACGAAGACTCGTAATCAGTAATTGGTGCGTTCCGATCCGTCTATTGTCACAGTTAAACAGTCGTTCATTGTTAGTCAAATTGTCAGTTCTCCAGTAGTTCTCTGGTAGTTGGTTTTGCTTGATCTTGTCAATAAGTCGTTTGTACGGCGCTGGTAACTGTTGGCAACGGTTTAGTGGCGTTTGTTCTAAGTTAGTAAACCAGCTTTCTAAAATAATTAACAATTATTCGCCGAAGGCGAAGTTAATATTGTTGAATAATCCCCGAGACGAAGTCGAGGGGATTATTCAACAATATTAACTGAGCCTGAAGTGAATAATTGTTTTAGTATATTCACACGAAGTGATCTCAACAGAATCAGAAAGGAAACCATTAAAAAACGATTAGTTTGATTGACGGGTGAATTCAAATTACTACCCAATTCTGAGAAGAAAAGTATCTAGAGCTTTATTTGTTTCTGTCAACTCACCGTGAATGAGAAAGTTTTCTTCGTCGCTTCTTGCAAATGCTGTCAACAGCGGCTGCGATCAAGGTGAGCGTTGATTATCTCCAAAGTTCTTTGTCTTGTTAACTTGCTGGCACGTACAATTTTCGAAAATATTTGCCTTCCTCTCTTCTCCATAAATTAACTTCTATTTATAGGCAAAATTGGTCTTGCGAGAAAATCCCGCTTGCGTGCTTGGGTTTCGGCCGGTTTCACCAAGGTAAGAAACCTGGCAGTCGTAGCATTTGATCTTGTATACTGCTACCCTGTCTGTCCTCCGGTTTGTGTTTGTCCTTGACATTAGTAAGCAGTCGCCGTAAAGTGGTTATCGGTTTGTGTGCAACACGTATATTGTAAGGTTGTAATATACGTGCAATAGTTTCAGAGGTGCCTCTGATGTACGGTATAGTCGCTGTCGTAACAGGGCCAGAGTTGGTCTGAGTGTTGAAATCAGTGTTACTGTGAGTGTTCCGTCTAACAAAGTCCGTGTTGTAATTGTTCTTACTAAAAACGTTGTTAAGATAATCAGTCTCGTCTTGTAGGCTGTCAGGTGAGTCGCAAACTAGTTGCGCTCGTCTCGTCAGAGTCCGGATAGTAGTAGCCTTGTGAGAGGTCGGGTTGTACGAAGACTGGTCTAGTAATCGGTCGGTATGTGTCGGTTTTCTGCAAATAGTCGTTTTTAGTTTGTTGTTGTCGCGAGTGAACAAGCAGTCTAGAAAAGGTATCTTACCATCTTTTTCGATCTCCTTGGTGAACTGTATGTCCGCGTTCTGTCTGTTAAGGTGTTCGTGAAAATCGTCGATTTCGTCTTTGTGTACGGCGGTGAATGTGTCGTCAACGTAACGTAACCAAAGAGGTGCAGTTCGCGTGTAGGTAGCTAGGGCTTGTTCCTCGATGTTTTGCATGACAATTTCTGCTACAACAACAGAAACTGAAGAGCCCATAGCTGTACCGTGTAACTATTTGTAGTGTTTGCCGTTGTACTGAAAGTACGTCGAAGTCAGACAGTGGTTGATTTCATTTTCAGTTCATTTTCGAACTGCGGTTGTAGATGAAAGTGAAGAATGATCATCGCAGTAAATTTTCCAGTTTAAGCAATTGGAAAGAAGAAGCCTGAAAAAAAGCAAAACAAAATCAAGGCTTTTACGGGATTCGAACCCGTGAACTCCGCGTTGCCGGTGCGTTGCTCTGCCAACTGAGCTATGAAGCCACACGTTGGGAGCGAGGTCAGTGAACTCAATAAACTGACCTCGCTCCCAATGTGTCGCTTCATAGCTCAGCTGGTAGAGCAACGCACCGGCAAAGCGGAGGTCTCGGGTTCGAATCCCGTTGAAGCCCTGATTTTTTTCAGGCTTCTTCTTTCCAATTGCTTAAATTGAAAAGTTTACTGCGATGATCATTCTTCACTTTAGGTCCATAATGTCGTCTATAGGTAGTGGTAGCTCAACAGTAGAGTTCTCAATAGCGTTCTCAGTACAGTCTAGAGCCAGTTAAAGTGGAATACTGGAGAACAGCGATTTCACGTCAAAGGACACTAGTTTGTGGTCGTCCGGTATCTGTATTGTCTCAATGGTGTCAATAAAGTTTTCGTCACCATTTCTCGTCTGCACTGTCTTAATGGCGTCAATAAAGTTGATGTCGCCATTTCTCGTCGCTCGACGGTCAGTCGCGTGCTAAAGTTTCTGTCGGTTTCACCAATGTAGGTAGCCAGGCAGTCGCAGCATTTGATCTTGTATACTGCTCCCTGTCTGTCCTCCGGTTTGTCTTTGTCCCTGACATTAGTGAGTAGTATTCGTAAAGTGGTTATCGGTTTGCTTGCAACACTTACATTGTAAGGTTGTAGTATACGGGCGATAGTTTCAACTCTTTACATTTTCTTGGATTGCAAGGAATTCTATTTGTCTTTGTCTAATCTAAAAACTGTGACACTAAGCGATCAGAGAAGTCTCCCTCCTTCCATACAGCAGCAATAATTGTCGAATCATCAGCGTACTTAAATAGCGTGTCATGATTACCTAAAGGGATGTAAATATCACTGAGAAAGATGTTAAAAAGGTAAGGACCGCTAAACGCTACTATACCTTTGTTAACCGTGAGTCGCACTCAAAGTTGTTAAACATACCCTTTGCGCTCTGTCCTTTAAAACGTTCAAAAACCAGCTGATAATATATGGATTCAATGGGAGCTTCTTAAATTTATTGATGTTTCACAGAGTCAAAAGCTTTGCTGAAGTCGATACCGAAAATGCGAACTGCTTTAAAATCAGCCGGGTTATCTAATTTCGATCCTATATTGAATTGACAGGAAAGCATCAGTACAGTTTCCTCCTTTTCTGTAGACGAACTACGAGGTGCTGAGGTGACTTTCAGCAATAGTCTCACAGGCATGGCAGTGGTAGACAATTTTCTCGAAAGCCCTCGCTATGACAGGAGTCATATTAATAACATCCACTTTGGGAAGAGGGGTGATAATCGCTCGCTTCCACGATGATAGCAAACACTAAGTGGAGATTGAGAGATTCCAAACCATGCATGCTCCTTCCAAACCCAGCAAGGAATCGGGTCGGGTCCAGCCGCAGTTCTTTTGAGTGCCCTAAGTGAATTTCAGACCTGCCGTTCAGAAATAACCAGGATCTCCACCTCACTGCTGATTGTGACAGGGGTTGGTTCGATGTACAAATCATCTGAGAAGAGCTTAGCGAAGTTATTATTCAAGTCCACCAAACAGCTGTTACCAAATAGCCTCCTTCAGACCATGGGCAAAAGGAGACATAAGTTTCGACTAAATAAAGGTTAAATTTTTGTTTAATAAAGTTGAATTACTTGCATTGAAGAAGTTTTTTTTTTTTCGTTTCTGGTCAATTCTACCCGCATATTCCTTGTAGAAAGCCTGGAAACACACTTTGCTTTCATTCAGCACAGGTAACCCAAGCTCACGAGTGGCTACAATGTCTATGAAGCATTTCAACTTAGAAAATCTTATTCCATTAAAACAGAAGCATGAGAAATAGTGAATTCTAATTATAACTTTTAATTAAATACTATCCGCTTACTTGGTTATTTTAAATATAATTAAATTTATAATTGTAATAGTTTAAAAGCAATATCATTTCTGTATACAAAAAGCAAAAAGCCTCTAAGCCAAGACAGAAAAGTAATAATGACCTGCTTCAGGACCCATAGGAGTTTTGCGGCCACTCAAGTATGTCCCTGAGAACAGTATGGAACGTCGTTCTGTAAGTGACAGTACTAAACGTTGGACAATTCTTAAAACAGAGCTGGTTGCAGGGCCTTCAAACAGTAGGGAGCTTAAGCAAATACAATGGCGACAAAAGAGACCGTGAGCAACATATAGGTTTAAATTAACAAAACAACAACTTAATTTACACGTGCATCACGATTTTTTGTCCGTGGCCGTTGTTGCTCGACTACGGCTTCAAATGTCTCATGTCTTATAGGGGAAGTGAACAGCAGACCACAATTTTCCTTTCTTTTCTTTTTTTTTTTTTTTTAACTCAAAACTAGTCCTATAGAATTCATTTCCAGAGAAATCGCCACCATTTAAAACATTGAACGAGGTGGAATAAAGGCGATGTGGCTCACGTGCTGGTGTAGTGCAAAATATTACCTTCAGTAGACGTTGGCGAGCTTTAATTAATTATTGAGAAGGAACCATTATTCGGAAAAAAGTTTGTTTATAATATATTTTTTTTCCCCACTTCGTTACTACGATATGCAAATTGATAAAATGTAAAATTTAATGTCATTTTTCCTTGCTTATTAGCTGAACAAAATCGCTTTCAAAGATGGGAATAAGCAAGAGTGCACTTCCGACTGAAACGTAGTTTTACCTTGCTGTTGTGCTTTTTTTAAAACTAAAATGATAAGTATGGTTCAAATGAATCAGCGACGAGTTTAGTGATGTGATTGTTTGCCAGCAAAAGGCGGATTTGAAACAACCCACATTACCTTGCGGTCTTCTCTTGAAGACTTTTTTCTTTTCTTCCGACATAGCTGTATGGGAATGCTAATAAAGTGTTATGTCATGTTATTATTTAACGGGGGATTGACACAGACAAAGCAAACTACCGCCCTGTCTCAATATTAACTTTGCTATCGAAGGTATTTGAGAAAGTTATTTACGACCAAACTTGGAATGCATTTCATAGCGTTTTGTCCTCAAACTTATCTGGATTTATGAAACTCACTCTTGCTGCACTGCATTGCTAATAATGACGGAAGACTGGAGGAACAGTGTTGATAACAAGGAAGCTGTAGCGGCGGTCGCTGTGGACTTGAGCAAAGCGTTTGATGCCATAAACCACAGCCTTCTGCTCGCGAAGTTGAAGGCCTATAGCTTTTCTCCACATACCTTGGAACTGATGTCCACCTACCTGCTAGGTTGTCAACAATGTGTCAGATTAGAACGCGTATGCTCTAACTTCAAAACAGTTAAATCTGGCGTTCCGCAAGGTTCACTATTGGGGCCGTTGCTGTTAAACATATTCATTAATGACTTGAATTTCTGTGTTCCTAATGTCTCATTGCGGCTGTACGCTGATGACACGACTGCCTACCTGTCTGATGTATCTCCCACCATTCTAGAATTTTCCTTCAACAAAGTTCTTCAGACTCTTTCGTCGTGGTTTGAGTTTAACCATTTAACAGTGAACAGTACTAAGACTCAAGCATTATCTGTTGGACCCTGTGCCTATCATTATTCTTTATTTCCTAATAATGCTAGAATAGAATTTCTCCGATCTATTAAGAGCCCATGACTGTAAATATCGAGAATCGCTGGCCAGGCTAAAAAAATCTAATATTCTGATAATTTGTCAGAAAAACCTCTTTGGGGAACTATCTTCGAAAAAAATATTTTCAACTTTCAAGAATCTATTGTGTTCGAGAAAATGAGGAAAAACGAAAATAGCGGTTTTTGCCTAATTAATTATGCAAAAATTAGAGTAAAAATGGCCTACTTTATCGCGTCGGTACCGAGGCAAGATTCAAAGCTATAGAACAAAAATATTTTTCTTTAAAAGCATTTTATCTTTTCTTTCTATCCATGGTATGTTTTAAACCATAAACACGATTTTGAATTTTTTACGGTTTTTTAAAAACTACCACCAAGCGCGCTTTTTAAAGTGGGTAAAAAATGAGCAACTTCAGAGGCAAAAAACTCACCTTGGTATGTGTGATACCTAGCCAAAATGTATACTAGGACAAAGTTCAGCTCTTATATTAACAGAATATGAAATAAAAAATCTGGGTACTCCAGATTCGTCTTTACAAAATAAACACTTTCGTGACCACCAGTGGTAAAAGGTCACAAATTTGCATAAGTCAAATTTGTAAAGAAATGTTGCGGCAGCCGGTTTTGTTTCAATTCAGGGTCAGTATGTGATGTTCGGAAACATCACGAAGCAAGAAAACGTTTTTTGATAAAGTTTATGTTAAAATATCAGAGTAATTAACCGTTCACAAAAAAATAAATTAATTAAAAAAAACGAACTCGAAGAAGCGTTATATAAAAGCGCCGGACTATTATGTAAACTATATCCCATGTCTCTGTTTTTTTTTTTCTAACTTCCTTGTATTGGCATCCATCTGCATCATCTTAAATTCGCCTCTGGTATATCTAAAATAGGTAGGTACATTTTCCTTGAAATTTTATTTTGAAGGAGGTTTTTTGCGAACGGGATACACTTCGACTCGTGCGAGGAAGTCATAAACTAACAGTTAGAGTAACAATGTCACGCAACGACGTCTCGAGCAGCTCCGCCTTCTTTTATAGATTTTTTTCTCCTTATGAAATTTTATGGAAACTTTGCTTTGAACAGGCAATGCGTTGTTCGCAAAATCATTTGTTTCTCGTTTTATTTTATTTTCAGAAAGAAGGGATACTAATTTTGCATGCCTGTCAGTCACGCACTAAAAGTTAGCAT